TATACTCGCAAAACTGTAAGCTGCAAAAAATTATTCTGTTAGTATGATGAGTGGAGTAAATTTCCTATTGCGTGTGACTTTTTTATAAATATTTTCAAGATTAGTCCACGCCTAAGTTAGACAAAGATCAAGGTAAAGTTCTCACTTTTCCGAAATACAAACACGAGTTTTGCTGTGAATTTTCCTCGAAAAACACATCAACAAGGCTGAAAAATTATTTTCCAAATTAAAGAGAAAGACTAGATCATGTATTACTGAAAATTTGATACATTTTTCAGGAGCCTTGCAATGAGAAAACCATTATAGTTCATAATTTTAGGAGTTTTAATGCGGCAGGCTTAAGAGGAGGAGTGTGCTGTAAAAGTGTTGGCCCATGTAAAGATAGCCAACTCATGTACCTTTTTCTCAGAATCCACCGAATATGTCCGATTATTTTTTTAAAGTTTTGTTAGCAAACATCCTCCGAAAACGGATGAGGTCGTCTTTGAAAATTTCAAATTTGGGTAAGTCTTTGAAATCATCACTGATTTAATAAAATTAAACTTTTTGATACCTCGAAAAAATGAGCAAATATCTGGAATAAATTATTTTCAAAATTTCAAAAATCCTTTTTTTTTTTGCTTGTGTGAAAAACTAATAAAAATATTAAAATATCTTTGCTGGATTCTGAGAAAGAGGCATATTTGTGCCGAAAAAAATATCTCTCCAAAGCTTCTCAAAAAATGTATTAGAAAAAAGTTCTGATAAGAACTAGCCAATTTAAAATTACCGTTATCTAAAAGAACATACTCCACGAAATGCCGCTTTCAGCAATAAAGAGCCAAGCCACATCATCGGAATAACTTTTACAGGAAAACGGTCTTACTGGTTCTTTCAAAAATTTCCGGGAATTTTTCTATGATGAGAGGTAAACTCCCTGAAATTTTCAAAATCATCTGTAGAACCGTCCTCCTTAAAAATATCCATAAAAACAAAAAAATTCATTAAAAAATATCCATTAAAATTTGCGGTATCCGGTAGTTGGTACTGATGGAATTTGGTTTCTCTCTTCTAAGCACGGTCCAATCCTGCCGTGTAACGACTGAACACCGTATGAACATTCAACCGTTGCCATATTTCCCTCAATATGAGACAAATTTACTGGACAATTTTTTAATTTGTTTCCTTAAATTTTTCAGACAATTTACTCGCAATTTAATCCAAAATATCAGAAAATTCAAGGTACAATATGCATAACTTCCTTCAAAAATACTTGCTTTTCTCTGGGAACTTTGGCAACTCTCGTAGGTTCATACGGCGTTTTTCCTTAGCACGGCAGAATTGGACGTATTTAAAGCAAAAGGAACTATATCCATGGTAACATGATCCCTATCATGCATTTATACTTATGGATCTCAGGACTCATATCGACGGTGAAACTACCAAACCACGTATCTCGTTTGCGGTGTTTAAAAATCTACGCTCACATTTTATTTTTTTGAAGTAGACCAAATCAATATCATTCCTTGAAATTTTCACAGAATTTTTTTCCGCACGAAGAGGAAAATTCACAGAAATTTTCAAGACTGGACGTTAAGTAGTTTTTCATTTAAAAAATAAAGTATGACAGGAAGTCTGCGACGTCGCAAACCGAGATACGTGGTTTGGTAGTTTCACCGTCGATATGTCATAAAATGGATATAGTTCCTTTCTCTTCAAATGCGCACAATAAATCACTAAAACGAGAACTTGTTCTTTGAGCCGGTTATCAAAGTTTAACGATTAAAGCTAAAAATTTTACTACTTCCTCAAATCAATTGAACAGTTTAAAAAAATAAAAATTTCAGATTTCCGTAAAAGCTTTTACAGAATAATATGCACTTATACGCAAATCTTTGAGCCTGTATCGCAAATCGAGTATTGCATTAATCGCTGGCAAATTCTTTTACGCAGCCGCACAAAGCATAACAAGTCGATTAACTTTATTTAGCAAAAGAAAAAAAAAGATAAAAAAAAACTGTTACAATCTTCAGACTCTTTACTACAGGTATAGATTCAACGTAGAGAAGATTTTGGCAAATTGTCAAAATCTTCTTGACAGTTCCGCAACTGTAAATATTGAATCTAAAAATAAGTTCAAACTATTCGTTTATGATTTTTTATTTTGATTTTGAAGTTACCCACCACAAAACCCTTAGAAATAATATTAAATTGCTGCAATGTGTAAATCATTGCATTATTTGCTGAACGTATCTCAGCGTATAAGACAACATTATTTTACGTTCGTTTTTGGTTCGTCCGAATTCGAATAGCTGAATGGAGACAAATTTAGAGAGACGAGATCCATCGACGGTAAGTGCAGTTCATCTATACTTCATTTCTGTAACGCAACTTTCCACCAACAGTTCAAGTGCTGACGACCATATTCTGACTCATTTTATTAAAGCGCATATTTGCATATTACCGTGCTAAAGAAGAACGCCGTACAAAGCTTTTAACGCTGCCAAATTTACTCTTATGAGGTGTTTATTTTTGAGGAAAGTTATGAATATTTTTCCTCCAACTTCTCAGATAATTTTGTTCGCAATTTCACCTGCAATCCCTGAAAATTTAAAAGAAAAATATACATAACTTTCCTCAATAATTAACAGTTTATCGAAGGAAATTGGGCAGCTCTCGAATGTTCATGCGGCGTTTTCGCTTCGCACGTTAGCATAGGTTCTGGTACACCAATTCCGTAAATTAAGGGCTAGTATCATAATGTCGTTTCAGAGATAAGCCAAAATACTTTGATTGATACGTAAAACACTGTGAAACTATTGGGTTCCTGTTGAAAGCTAGATAGAGGGAGACATGAGTTACTTCAGTTGCACTTCACTGTACTGCCGTGCTAGGGAAGAACGCCGTTCGAACATTCGAGAGTTGCACAATCTCCTTCGATAAAATAATAATTTCTGTGGAAATTTAGGAAACATTTCTCTTGAAATTTTCAGGAGCATTAGATGAAATTGCGAAGATAATTGGCTAGAAAATTTGATAACAAATATTCGTAAGTTCACCAGGAAATTCGAATTTTATCGAGTAAAATTTGGCAACGTCTGAAGGTTCACACGGCGTTTTTCCTTAGCACGGCAGCCATACCAATGGAAAACACCGTATAAGCGTTCATATGTTGCCAAATTTTCTCCCTTCTTTAAGCTAAGAAATTTCGGTTAGCGAAATTTATCTTAAAGAAGAAATCGGTTCGTTACCCTCCACCTTATCCTCAAATATTAAGTGTTTTAGATTGAGCTGTTCATTCGTATCAACGGTGTAAATGGACTGCATTTTGCAATTTGGAAGTATAAATTCTGGCTCTTCTGGAAAAACACGTATGTCCATACGGAAATTAATGGCATATACGTTGTTTTTAAACCGGGCTAGAATTTATAGTTCCAAATTACAAAATGTAGTCCAAATGAACTAGAATGTCACGACAGGTGCCACTTCGTCGTCTCCCTTACAAAAGAACGTAACTACATTTGGACTAAATTTTGCGATTTGGAACTATAAATTCTAGCCCGGTTTAAAAACGACGATGTGCCATCAGTTTTCTTATGCACAAAAGTGTTTTTCCAGAAGAGCCAGAATTTATAGTTCCAAATTGCATTATGCAGACCATTTCAATGTTCCCAATTTTCCCCTCGGAAATTGACTTTTCAGCAGGAGAATCTTAGTCTTTTCTAACTGAAAATCTTGCCGATTTTTCCTCTAATTTCATACGAATATGATACAAATGTTCGACAAAAAGCGCACAGGTACATTCTTGTAAAAAATTCAACTGTCTGAGTCAACTGTACTGCATTTTGCAATTTGGAACTATAAATTCTGGCTCACTTGAAAAAACAGTTGTGTGCATAGGAAAACTAATGGTACATACGTTGTTTTTAAACCGGACTAGAATTTATAGTTCCTAATTGCAAAATGAAGTCCAACTATGTAACCTTGGAATAAAGTTACGTTCCTTTGTACAAAGAGCGGCGATTTGAATCAATGTAAACTCTGTTCAGCTTCTTGAGCATTTCTCAGGAACTTTAAGATCTATGAACTTCAAATTGTGCAGGCATGTTAATATGACTTTTGGCGTGAATTGAAATTGGAGATATGAAAATATTTTTGGTTAACAGTTCTTTTCTGAAAGTTGAAAGTTTGGCAAATGTTTATGCAATTTTTCTAAGCTGTACTTTAGCATAAAAAAGTTGTGTCTTTATTACTTCGGTTCATAAAAGTGCATGGACGTAGCATTTATAATTTCCGATCAAAGTGTACCAGAGGGTAAAATACACCTCTTTTTCAAAATCGTGAAAAACTGGAAAACCAAGCAAAGACTCACAAACCCAGATACACTACTCGAGTGCTTTTCATTCTTCTTTAATTTAAATGAATTACATCATTTTAAAGCTAAGAGCGAGCGTTCTCTTTTAAATCATGACAGAACAACAGAATTATTCAACTTTTTTTATTTAAGCGCTACTATCAACTTGGAAAATAAACGTTTTTAACTAGTACTGCATTAATAATTGGATCTGCAAAATGTTAGCAGCATCTAACGATCTTTTAACTGTTTTTTTCGACTAGACTTTGTTAAAATGAGTGAAAATGAATAAATAAAAAATGAGTCCGTAAATAAGAGAAGGACAACGAGCAAAACTAACAAAGTCGTTTGAAAATCAGTTGACTTAGTATAGGATATACAAAATACTTGGACCCCTAATTTTTAATATATTCTACTTAGGCAATTCGATCATCATTTAAATGCAGGATGGGAGACATTGGCAATTTTGAACATGTTTTAAGGTGCAGTTGGTGGCAAAGTAGAAGTTTACTTAAAAAACTCAAGTAGGTAATAGCTCCGCAATATAAGCGCAATTTCTCTAATAAATACTAATATTATTCTTACAGTTATCTACTTAAGATTGCAAAATGTTCCGTACTTTTTTCTTTAACCTAAGGCTTAGTGGGTGAAAGAATGAGTCAAGGAGTATGATTCATTTGTACTTTAATTTTTTTTTTCATTTTGAACCTATTTACAAGAAACATAAAACAAATACTGAATCGTAAAATAATGATACAAAAGAGAAACATTTACTTTGATACAAAATTGAAAAAAGAAAAATAATGATAAAGACAATAATAATAAAAACAATAAAAATGAGATTAACAGGAACATTGATCCTACTAAAAAAAGAAAGAAAAAAATTAACGCGTGGTTATTTTCTAAAAATGAGAATAAAACACCTAACATTGAGGGTCTAAGTAACACGGTAAGTACTTACGTGAAAACAACAAATTTGATTATTTCTCACGGGTTGGAGTCTTAGTAGAAAAAATGGCAAGATTTGAGATACTGGTAAATTTTCCTGCACGTGAGATGCACAAAATCGATTTTTTTACATTTTTTTGATGGATTCATACTCTAAAATTAAAGACCGATACAGCAATGATAAGGAGTTGAGAAATATTTACTGGAGGAAAAATACTGCAATAATACTGGTGAGTTCACTTTAAGAGGAAGAACTACAGTTAACGTAGAGAAATTTTGATTAAGAAAATTATCACTTCCTCGCAAAATTCAGAGTACATTATTTATAGATGAGGGAGAAAAGGAGTTTTGTCCTGATTAGCTGCGGTATGACTTAAGACAAAAATACAATAAAACGATAAAAAATAAAGATATGTACATTTTTACACGATCACGACTGTTCAACAAATTAAACTACTGAGGTAGCGACTGTGAAAGAAAGAGAGGAGGGCCTTATGACACGTCTAAATGGGTTTTGTCACCAAATTACTTACTATTATTACATTTTGTATACAAATAAAGGAAATTATGGAAGGCAAAATGGGCTTTTGTCATTATATGGAGTAACAATTCAATCGAGGAAAAAAAAAATGTTACAAATGAAACTTGAGGAACTGTCTTAAGACAGAATGAAGTCAATGGCTTTCTGACGTATTGACGTTTGCACGATCTATGTAGGAAAGGTTACAGTTGACGGCCAATGGACAAGTCTTTGATCGTGGAATGATATGCAAAAATCTAATTCACATTATTCGAAGGAGAAAACAAGTTTGATTTCGCTATTTCATAGACATTCAACACAAGCTGGAGAGTTCTGGAGAGATTTTCGTGTTAAATAGTGCGCATGAGAACGGTCAGTGTTTTAAAATATTCTCTCGGAAGAAAAGAAAAAATCTGAGCCTGAACAAAAATGTTGAAGTCGTAAAATAGTGGTGAAAGAATGACCGTTTTAAGAGATCAAGGCCCCTGAAGAAAATAAATCGTTGCTGCAAAAATAATTTCTTTCAATCTCTATCGTCACCAATAATAATTTTTGAAACAACGATTCGTTTTCCACGGTTCCCTGAAAGCACACGGTAGGTACTCACCGAAAAAAAGCGAAGTTAATTGAACGTTCTGGATGTAAGAAAAGTGTGCGAGAACTTATAAAATCCTGAATTACCCGATGCAGCAGTTACTTAATCAATGCCAAGATGTATAACTAACTTTTTTAAGTTCTCGGACATTTTTCTTACATCTAAATTGTTGAATCAACTTCATTTTTTTCGGCGTTAGGTGCATTTAGTGCCTCTTTACATCTCCTCGCACGAAACTAAGTTCTAAAGTCTAAAGTTGATCTTCTTAAAACGAGTTATAGGGCTGAACTTTTTTCAGCAGAGAGAAAAAACGTAACAATTTTTATAACATAGCATTTCATTTTTTACATTGCGCTCCTTGAAGCCTGAAGCGTAAGTTAATATTGAAAAGATCAACTGCAGTTTTCGAGAGACTCGCCCATGACAAGGATCACCGTTTAGGGTAAAATTTAAGGATCCACGAAGGCTTGCTTTTTAAGATCACCGATTCTTGAAATATCACTAATTAGGTATAATAAACTCATTTTTAGCAGACGATTCGTAAAAAATGTTTTGTATCGTAATTCAAAATGCAAAATGACAAAAAGAACATCCATAAGGAACAATGTACCTGAGCCATCCATATAACACGTGCCTAATGATTGAAGAGAATGAAAACCTACGTGAGTAGCTTATTACAAAAAGACAATGAGTAACTGATAGTATTACTGAAGATTTCTTGTAAACGCTCAGAATGAATTAAGTACAAACGGCTCAGTTCAATTAGTATCTCTTCTTTTTTTCAAAATGCTCAAGTGCTCATCATTTCACAATTGACTCACTTCCTATTTTAATTTCGTCATTTTGGCAACCAGAGACTTTCAAAGCAAAGATACACCATTTGAAAACTTTTCATCACGCACTGAGAAAAATTATAAAAAATGAGCACAAACCGGATGTATTTCCAATCATTGACTCGCAATAGTTGTATGATTAATTCTAGATTAAAATTTTAAACAAAAATAATAATATTTACAAAGACCTATGTACATTAACATTGATTTAACAATCTATTACAGAGGTAGAAATTGTTGATGAATGCGTTTAAGTGAACCATGTCTAAAAGCGAGGTAAATCTTGATCGAAAGGAATTATTCGGATCAAAACTAAAAAAATAACCAATGGGTAAATAAATTATTTGAACAATCTAAAGGAATGGAAATACATTGCACAAAATTACAGTTACTTTAACTATCTAGCTAAACAGAAAATAAAATTAAGAAACAATACCATCAACATGTAATACTGGACGACTGTAAGCTGGATTTCAGTAAGAGAAAACTCTCTAGGAAACCATGTATATGTGGTCATGACTTGGAAAAAAGGAAACGTCTTTTCATGTTAGTGTACACTTTTACCATGGTTTGCCATGAAAATACATAAATACAAATTTTGTCATGATATAGATAGTAGGTAATCCTTATAAATTCTGATATGCCCTTATTAAGAAATGTCAACTCATTTTTGCTCCTTTGAATGTAGAAGGAAAATAGGAAAAAAGGGGGAAAACCCGTTTACTAAGACCTCTACTTATTGAGAAGCCACGTTCTGATAAAAAAATTAGGATGAAGATCTTACAAATCGATCGAGTCTGTAAATATGACAACTAAATTACAAATGATGAAATAATGTTGATTATTACGACTTAACATAAATTGAGCAAAAAACAAAAAAAGGAAACAACTTAAAAAGGAAGTGAAAAAACAGTCCGTTACAAATTAAGTAATTTTGATTATGAAGTAAGAACTATCGAAGAAGAATTAGTTTACATGTAGGCGAACTGGCAAACAAATCACATATAAAAAGAAATTAATATGGATATTAATAAAAAGGTTTCGAAGGCTGAGATAAAATCATTCGAGTATTCACATTTTTCTGGGTCATAAGCACGTGAATAGTAGAAAAAATCGCGCTTTTCACGTTCGAGGAATATGTAAACATGCAAGTCACGTAGGACAGAGAAATGGTGTGGGTAATTGAATACTAAGGCAAAAAGAACTTTAAGTTGGTAGAGGGATTATCTCGAACCTCTCGTGATCACAAAGAGTGAGGAAAGTTGCTAAATTTTGGATACTGATTGGGTGGGAGGGAGGGGGGGAGGGCGACTGGCAGCAAATGTGGACCATCTCTAATAGAAAGGTTCAAAATTTTGGTGGGAGTTTCATTTGAATCAATTGAATCAAATAGAGAAAGAGTCACTTTTCAGGTGAGCTCTAATTTGCATGTATTTTAATGCACTTGAGTGCCTATACAGAAAAGGGAGTTTTGCTTTTTGGAGAACAACTGATTCGTTATAAAAATGAAATAAATGAGGAATATTTCGTGTTTTCAGCCAAACATCGCTGCTAATCGGGCAAAAGCATTTCTGCAGCAAATGGAAGTAAGTCAACCAAGTGTTAAAAAAAATTCCCTGAATATCGTCTAAAATTCTCCTCAAAGACTTCGAACTCACAATGCTGCAATGCTATAAGACTTTCTAGATACCATAAGGTAGCATTACGCTGGCGAGGGGCAGGGGGGGGGCAAGGCGAGGCAATACTTTCAGATGAGCGACCGTGAGTTCGTTTGTTCCGCGGTTATAAGTGCGTAAAAAAATGTTTTGCTCAAACGATTTTTTCTCGCCATAAATGCAGCAATTGGCGAAAAAATACCTAACGGTAACAGAGAACGCCAAAAACAATATCACAAAAAACTACACAAAAAAAATCTTGGACCTTGCAGTATGTCATTTTGAAAGAATACAAGTAGAGATGTAATAGCCACTTTAGTTTCTCACACTTGGTGCGATGATGGTTCAACTAGCCTAGAAACCACGCATTTATGGTTTTCACATGGCCCAAAACGTAGGACTTGCCATTTCTCTCGCAAAAAAACCGTAAACACACGCTAATTAAGTCTCTGTCGCCTTTAAAATTCTGCTCATTTCGAGACTCACGTGAAAATGGACTTACGCCTTTTTATTCGCAGAATAATATCAATACCTGAAAGCAAAGTAATGTAACGCTGTTGGAGCTTTTAAAAATTGAGGTATTTTTCGGTAAAAGGGCGTATGAGACTTCCAATGCTGCTAAGATTGTGCAACGTAGTTCTCTAGTTGTAAGTAACTTATCCGACAGTTCTTCTACGACTTTTTCTATGAATCTGCTCAGAGTTTTTCATCATCACTATTGCAAGGAAGAAGGTCGACGGCGAATGAATTTCATTTGCCGCAAACGCCATGAAAAATTTCACAATCTTGGCAGCATTGCAGACCTCATACGCCCTTTCACCGAAAAATGCCTCAATTTCTACAGACATTCTGTTTCGTTTTTTACTGAGTGAACGTGCTTTTTATGAAGAGGTCTCGGGCAATTTCCTTGTTCCTTGAAAATATTCCTCGCCTAGCGAGACGAATCGATGAATTTGATGTACAAACATCATATCTGCAGAAACTTTGAAACGCCCCAACGTAATTAGACGATAACTTACAGCGACTTGTAGTTGGACTGAATTTAGCAAAAAGAAACTAAGTTCTAGGTTATAAATCGAAAATCTGATTGAACAGATTGAACTATACATTGAGGACACTGATTTTGAAATATACCCAAAACTTGGCTCCTTTCTGTTAAACTGGACGCATTTATGCTAAATGAAACTATGTGCATAGGGTTTGCATGAGACGTAGTTCCGTTCAGCATAAATACGTCCAACTGGACGTACTTATGCTAAAAAAAACTATGCTGCACGCAAAACCTATGCGCGTACTTCTTTTTAGCATAAATACGTTCAATTCAGTTCAGTTGGTTAGGAACTCGGCTTGGATTCAACAAGTGACTGACTAAGTCGAAGATTTTCTTGAACTTTAACAAAAAGCTGATAATTTTCAATGCGGTCTCTAACATAGTAAATGCGTTTCTGAATCTGTATTTTAAAAGAGAGTGCCTAAAGCTGATGAAATCACGTATACGATTTTAAACAAAACCTTGTTCTGAAAAGAAAAAAACAAACTCTTATCCAGATTTCGGAAGCATTCACACATTTCAAATTCAAAAATAAGTTTCCAAAACAAATATACTTACAAATATTTGACGTATTTTGTTTTGTTTTAAGTAGGTACATGAATAAAAAAAAATCCTGAACCATGAGAACTCTGAGCTGTGATTCACCCACTGCAGGACCTTGTTTCAGTGGCAGGTACCTAAAATATTTGAGTCAAAGCAACCTATCCACACTAAGAAAAGTGAAAATAGAAAATGATTCATAGGTACTCTTACTGTATTTATACCTATTATAATTTTGACAGGTATTAATCTTAGGATGTCAATTTACATGGCTAACTTGCGATTAGCTGATAAAAATAAAAGTGCAGGAATTGAGCAAAGGAAAAAAATCAGAAAAAACATTTCTACCGCTTTAAAAAGTTGCACGTCCAAAATATTAGTGTCAATTTTTGCAAACAATTTTAGCGAAGGAAAAGGGCTCCATTCTGATGGTTCGAGGCTTTTTTTCTTTCACTTTTTAAGTACTGTTAATTTCAGATACCATGCGATTATTGATGTGCGTGAAACGCTCATTATCAATCCAAGTTGGTTCTCAATGATAAAAAGCATGTAATTTCCTCTAAAACAATATCACTGTGAAATAAACGACGCGCAGTTGAGTACACAAAATTGCTTTTCGGACATTTGAGTATTGCGTAAGGGACATAACAAAAAGGAAGAGATACAGGGAAAAATTCACTAGAGTCAAAAAGTGCTCCAACTCTCAGCTGAGAATTTTCGGCGGCGTGGAGCTAAAAACGGGTGGTTCTTTGTATTTTCGTCGGTGCGTTTCAGTGTGCTTGAGCATGTGATCTTTGCGGATGAAGCCCTTACCGCAAACGTCACAGCTAAAGGGTTTTTCGCCGGAATGGAGGCACATGTGCCGGCGAAGATCGGTCTTATGATTGAACTGTTTGGGGCACATGTCACACTTGAAAGGCTTATCCCCCCCGTGTTTGCTGAAATGCTCTCTGTGCAAGGACTCGGCCACGAAACGCTTGCCACACCGGTAGCATTTGTAGGGTTTTTCGACGCCCGAATGAAAGGACTTGTTGTGCTGCGTCAAATAACAGGACCTATTAAAAATTTTGTCGCACTCGTCACACCTGTGAATTACTTTATTCTCTACTTTAGGAGAGTCCGCACCAGCTCGGGGAAAGGAGTCTAAAGAACTGGAAACCTGGTTTTTCTCGTCGAAATCTTTAATCGATGTGTTTCTCTTTTTGACAGGCGGTTTGGGCTTTACTTTTCTTTGCGACGAGTCGGCTACGTTATCAGAAAATTGAGGGGGCTCTGTATTTATTAAAAAACCAATATTATTCTCTTTTTTTACTCTATTTACATCAAAATCACCGGTAATAATCTCAGGTTTACTCTCTTCATAATTGCTTGGGTAAGCGTATTCTTTCTTTATGTCAAGTTTGCTCTCCTCGTAATTGCTTAGGTAGGCGTATTCTTTCTTTACGTCAGGTTTACTCTCTTCATAATTGCTTAGGTAGGCGTATTCTTTCTTTATGTCCAAAGGATCCAAAGGACTCGGAGATGTTTCCAGGCCGCTGTCGGAACGCGAATCGGCGCCAACGCCGTTGCTGGTGGGACTGTTACCGATCTTGGTGAAAGTTTCCATAGAATAGGATTCGTTATGAGGGCTCTGGGCCTTGCTCTCGGCCGACAGAGGTCTCACCTGCCCCCCCACGTCTTCGATACCCTGAGAAGAATTGTAGTAGTCAGGCTCTACAATTTGGTTGAACGCAACATTTTGAAAATGTCCGAAACCGTGAGCTGGGTAATACGCATCGTTCGGGTGCTCACCGCTTTGGTAGGGTTGAACTCCCTCGGAATTGGAATTACCAAAATTGCTGTTGGTGGTAATTGCTTGGGTGGAAGAGACGTGGGGGGGCTGCAAGTTTGGGTAATTCATCGCCATGCCCCCGGGGGAGCCGGAGGGGGGGATACCCTGGGAAGGTGCCAAAGCCATGAACTGCGGAGTTGGCATAGCCGCCGCCGGGGAAGTTGACTGGATAAGATGGATATTGGAAGTTGGATGGTACTGAGGGGGGTGCGGAGGATACTGGTGCGGACTGATTGAAGAGAGGTGGGAATTGATGGGGGGCAGATGAGAATTGATGGAAGGGGGCAGATGGGGGCTCATGGGGGGCAGGTGGGAATTGATTTGAGGTAGGTGAGGGTGACTCAAAAGCAGGCCCCCCGATTGGTGTTCCGAAGGGCCTGCCATCAAGTTTGGGGAATTCGATAAAAAATTGGGGTAATTATTGTAATTAGTTGGCGAAGTTACATTCCTAGAATTATTAGCATTATTGATAGGTATAGGTGACTCACACTCGGTTTTCGTCGAATGAAGAGGCGCCGGCGTCGAGCCGCCCTCCTCGTTGGTGGACCTGGAGGAGGGGGGCGGGGGGCTCGGAGCTGATCCCTGAAGACCGGCCGCGAACGTGGGATCCTTCTGCGGATGGTGATGGACGCTGATCGGAAGAACTGCCGGGTCCGGCTGGTTCGACTGCTTCACGGCGTTCTTGTGGAGGGTCGTGTTGTAGTGGCGCTTGAGATGTCCGGAACTGGTGAACCACTTATTACACGCTGAGCAGTTGTAGGTCTTGGGCCTGCGGGCCTCGTTCGACTTCCACGACCCGCCGGAGGATTTCCCGCTCTTCCCGTTCGGCACCGGGGTCGGGAGGTTAGGCACGGTCTGGGAAGAGGAGATCTGCGACGGTAGCTGCTGGTTCTGCTCGTATGGCTGGTACGAGTTCAACGACTGCATCTGCTGCATGCTCTCCGAAGTCGGCGGCGAGATGGTCGTCGACGAGACGCTCGGGAAGTCCGGCGAAGGGAGGTTCCCGTTGTGGTGGCTCATTTGGTAGTACTTCTTCTCCGGGTGGGAGTTGTTGACCCAGGAGGACACCATCGCGTTGACCGAGTGGTTCCGGCCGTTGATACCATTCTCCTCGTTGGGCTCTCCCAAGGCCGGGTTGTAGACGTGCACTTTCTGCGAGTCCAGGTCGAGGATCTCCTCGCCGGAGCCGGGTGGTTTGGCGGCCGGCGGAGGGAAGCAGTCGTTGAACGGGAAGTTGGAGGTCGGCGACTTGGCGTGCGCCACCGACAAGTGCTCCAGGAGCCGCTGCTGCGAATCGGCGATGAAATTGCACCGGTCGCACATGAACCCCCGCGCGCGGGGTTGATTATTGACACCGGGACTAGACGAGGAAACATTATTCCGAGGCGACTCGGGCGGATAGTTATTATAAGGGTGATAACGATACGACTGGTTTTGATGGGGCTGATTCGGTTGCGGACTGTGCGGCGAACTCGCGGGGGGGATCACCGGAAAGTCGGCACCGGGACCCAGGACATAGCCCGGATAAGCCGGCGAACGATTGAAAGGGTACTCGGAGGAATTTTTCGAGTGATTGTACGTGTGGTGCACTTCGAGGGACTTCAAACTGTCGAAAACTAAATTGCAAGGGTTGCATTGGTGCGGGTGCTGCTGGGATGGCGGCTGGCTGGTCTGAGCCATTGCTAACTGGATCGGTCACTATTCGCGGTATCACTTGTTCCCGACTCCATTCGGACAAGCACGGCACAATTGAAAACACACTTCAAAACACTGCTGGCACCGGCGGCGTGGAACTCAAAATATCAACACGGGTAGGAGAAAAAAACAAACAAACAATGCGCAGGATCGCGATCGGAGGAGCGCGACAACGAAACACACCGGTGATTGAATGTCAGGCGCGAAAAATAAACACTCGGAAATGCGAAGCAACTACGATGGCATTCTGGCACGACGAGAGCGAAAAAAGCGAGAAGTCATTTACAGTAATCCACTGAGTCGGAACGCGCACAGAGTGACATACTGTACACTCGAAAGCGACTACAGCATGACTGCCGAAATGGGTTTCCTCGGATTCGAAAACTCGCCGCCACTACTCGAGAGAGGGGGGGCAGATATGAATGAGTCTCTTCCCCACTCTCGCGCTGTTTCTTGCGTCGCCCATTCGCGCAACGCTTTCCCCCTCTCCCCTCTTCCGTTCGGATTTGTCTTCGGCGCGGATATTCAAACTTGATGTCACTTTTTCTTCTCCCGTGATAATAATAATTGTTCTTTCATTGCTCTTTGAATTTTCTTCTCCGTCCAGTTGGCAATCGATTACTTCTGCTCAGGAGCCCGGGATGACTTGATTCGGGACCGAATTTTCCGCGAGCGTGCAAAAAGAATGAGAATGTGATAATTTGATGAAGGACGAAGTAATAACGAACGGTGAAAATGGAAACCCCGTCGTGGGCGCGAGTCAGGGTGGTTATACCGACGGGAAAAGTGAAAAATCACATATCTCAATTTACGAGTATGCACATTTCTTGTCGTTACGGGCGATCAGAGATTGAGGGGTAATTGCAATCCAACGTTGCAAAATTTGCTTGAGTCTCAGTTAAGAAATTTTATAAATCTCTATTCAGATTTAGAAATTTTAGAATATTCAGAAATGTTTGCGTTGAAATTTGTAACTGTTCCTGTGCAAAGAACTTTGTTTTCGGATGTAATTTCAAGGTTTTTTGAAGCAGGAACGCTTCGTGGTTTAAAGATCACGATTAAAAACCAAAAACTCTTCATTTTGATAAAACTCTCTTTACGCTTATTAGTAGTCCATTAATTTGGGGTACTTTTCGACATATTAAAATCGTAATTCAAAAATTAAAGAAACAAATATGCAAAATCCTATTCTTTTTCCAGAAAATATGAGACATCAACGGAGAAATTTGGGCAAAAATTTTGAGGTGCATCGGACTTTTTTGCAGTTGCACTCTTGATTCATGCATATCATACCTGCAAGCTCAGTTCCTGTGATATAATATCCTGAGACCAAATGCCTCGCAGAGGAAATGAGAAATAAAGATACGACGGCGCAAAGAATGGAAGAGGCTTTTTTGACCAACCGCCTTTCAGGTGTTACCGAACGAAGTTAGTGCTTCCATCCGCTAAAATCGACGTCATAATAATAAACTAACGAAGAATTAATGAGAAGAACACCGATGTCGAAAGCAGAAAAATGCGTAGTTATCTCAATTGATTCGTTTCAGATCCCCGATTATATTGTATTTTTTCCAGGGAAAGTGACTTGAATATCTCTCTGAAATTTTCTGTGAATATGTTAGAAAAAGTAGCGATTCCAAGGCAAATTATGAGAAAATTTGTTTATTGATCTCCCGTAAAAAAAAATAAAAAAAAAAAAAAAAAAAAAAAAAAAAAAAACGTGACAAAATTCGCAGCGCTGCAAGTAGAGATACGCATTTTTTTTTTACTGTAGCGATTGAATCAACAGAAAATTGACAATGTGGCGATAAAAATCAGTAAAAGTTTAGCTTATCGGCAGAATAACGCTGGGATGGAGAAACGAAGCGCCCTCATAACGCTCGGATGCAATTATTCGGGCTCCGTGGATGTCTTTGATGCATACGCACAGAATTGAAGGCGTTTGTACCTTATCGGCGTTATGAGGTTAGCAGTGAGGACGTGACCAAGAAAGTAGCAGTTTGCGATGAGCCGATTAATCTGTCATTTAAACCTGGAAAAGAAATTGATGATCAGAGTTCAAGTAAAGAACACCTTAATTTTCGACTCTTTACCAAAGCTTCAAATGGGAAAACATCGATAACCGACCATTAACGCCTCACCAAGTCACCACTGACTTTAGCAGCGATTTTTCAAATTTTCACTCTTAATTGAGTCTATCACTAGATTTTGGTTTAGATGGCAAATCAATAGACTCATCGCGAAGCACAACACGCCCTCTGGCTGAAAGAAAAGGTGTGCCATGCCGTTGCGCTGTGCCCAGTGGCGTGCTATCGATTGATCTGCCATTTAAACCTATGAAAAAGGATCGATAAACAGGGTGTTTGCAACGAACACTTTAATAATCGATTCTTTTCCGTAGCTTTAAATTGGTTAATATCGAAAATCGATCATTCACGCCCCGCCACCTATCTTCCTAAACCTAAACCTATCTCTAATGGACAAGGCCTTCCATTAATAAGAAATGAACGACAAAATTATGAAAGAACATGACACAAAAGGTTCAATGATTTTAACTTCCGCCGCTGCGCCGCGCCGACCGCACCGTGTTTGGCGCAATGCGTGAAGTATTCACGCAGTCTTGTAGGCGCTATGCGTTTCACGCTGACCTCACTGTGTTCGGCGCAATGCGTGCGCATTCTTGTAGGCGCTATCCTTTTCACGCTGACCACAATAACCTCACTGTGTTTGATGCAATGCGTGAAGTATTCGTGCAGTCTTGTAGGCGCTAATATGTGTTACATGCCGATTGGCGCGCCGAGGGCTTCTCCTTTTCATCTCAAGTCCTCGTCATCATTTCTCCCTAAGTCGCGCCGCGCCGTTCCAGGCCAAATTGTGTGTTTGGTTTCTCTCTTAACTCGACTAATCAAAGGTGCTGTCTCTTGTATCACTGAAAGACGACAAAATTAGAAATTACTATACTCTCAGAAAATGAGAGATTTTGTAGCCTTTCCTCGTTTGTAATATTTTTTTTCTAAATCCGACTTTTTTTATACCTACATTTAAAAAAGTTGCAAAATTTGCCGCCTCCTAGATTTGCCGCCATAGGCCGCGGCCCATGTGGCCACCGCCTTAATCTGGCCCTGACTATACATGCCAATGTTGCCACATTTTCCTTCGCAAATTGCATTTTCACCCGGAGAAGTTAGGGAATTTCCAATTGAAATTTTCACCGATTTTTCCTAAGATCTCATGCAAAATTCAGAAAAATGTTGAACGAAAATTTAACAGGTATATGTTTGCAAAAAATTGAATTGTTTGAGTCAATTTTGCAATCGTGGTTGATGAGCTGATTGAGAAGGGAACAAAACCAGTCTCGCTTATGATGTTCCACGAGCTGGAACAAATTGCGTCCTATAGATAATTAGATACGTACAAGTGAGTAATTTTAAATTTAGAGCTGATTTTTGTGTTCGACCAGAGAAAATCTTGGTGGAGCTTTCACTAAAAATTAAATATGCCCAGCAGTTTCCCATTGGACGTATAATTTTCGATTTGAAACGCAGCTTTAAAATGCAGTTACGTTCCTCCGTCTGCAGAACGAAGAAACCAGTCAAACTTTGAAGGGAACTTAAAATCTCGTGAACGTCGACAGTGCTTCATTCGAGGAGCATCAAAGTCATTGTCTGTGGCGTAGCGTGCTTTGCGATATATCGATTAACTTGCCGTTTAAACCTAATGAAAAGGATTGATAAACACGGTGTTGCAATTAAGAACACCTTAATACTCGATTCTTTACCATAGCTTCAAATGGGGAAAAATCCATGATCGATCATTCACGCCTCGCCACAGATCTGCCGTGCCAAGGAAGAACGCCGTATGAACATTCGAGAGTTGCCAAATTTCCTTCAGAGCGAAATTTTTATTTTTGAGGACAATTATGAATATTTTTCCTTGAAATTTTCAGAATATCTGGATCAAATTACGAACAACATTATCTGAAAAATTGGTAGACAATTATTAAAAAAGTTTCTTGAAAATTAGTGATTTGCTAGGGGGAATTTTGCAACGCCTGGAGGCTCATACGGCGTTTTTCCTCCGCACGGCAGTGATGGCGGCCGTGCGGCGGAATTTTCGTCATGTGACGCCACCTTGCGCCCCGTCTCCAGCGTCCACTTGGCAGTGTCGTCCTCGTCCTCGCTGACCGGGCCGGGGACACTTAATTTCATATTCGGGATGAAACAAGGGCCGAGACGCAAGCACGGGCATCGAAAGAGTAACGCAATTTCAATAACCCCGGGATCAGGTCCGCGAGTAACAACAAAATGATTAAAATCTTCGAGCTCCAGCATCCAGTCCGAGCAAGGACTTGGCCCCCTCCCCCTGCCCACCGACCACCCTCCCCACCGCGCGAGCCTCTCACCATCTCCATCTCACCCTTTCCCCGCGCCCCCTCCCTCGGAGCTGGAAAGCTCGCCAAAGTCCGGCGCTTTCTGAGCGCGCTAAGGTGAAGCTCGGGGCAGCAGCGTCCACGAGGAACATACATCACGTTATCTCTCTCTCTCGCCCTCCTGCTCGTGCGTCTTCCACCCCCTTCCCGAGCTACCCCTGTCCGACGCCTCATCCTCACCCTCGCCTTGATATTATTCTGCATGCCAATGAGAAGTCATTCCTCTCCGAAAATCATTCTCTTATATCTCTCCGCTCCCAGCGCAGTTTTGTTTTCCGTCCACTCACTTTTCCACTTTTCCACCCCGCCCTCCGAGCCCGCACACCGGGCTCTTCCATCTCGAAACCTGACCAATACGCTCCAATTCTTCAAATCGTTCGATTCAAAGAGGAAAGTGCTCGTATGAACGATCCATCGCCTCTAGTACAGTGGTGACTTTGGAAGTTGGCGACGCTATTTTTCCTCCATTGGCGGATCCAGCAATTTGGCAACGCCGGATTTTCTCCATTTACTCCTATGGAAATGTATCGATTCTTGGAGGGGTCAGGTGCTCCGACAAAAATCGATTTTTTAGTATAGGTTTAAATGGAGGAAATCCGGTGTTGCCAAATTGTTGGATCCGCCTCTGTTTTCCTCCCTTCAAATCCATTAAAAATATCGATTTTAGGGGAGACAAGCTATCTCACCTAGAATCGATTGTTTTGCATACATTGAGCGAATTTTATTTAGAGGTTTGGTACTACTTTTGTGCCCGAACCTCCAGGCTGCTATTCTATTTGAGTTCGGAACTTCCGATTCATCGACTAACGAATCGCTACGTTGGTGCGTGATTTTGGTACCATCTTGCGAGGTGCTTCTAAAAAAGGTTCGACCTATCGAAAACCAACGGATCTGATTGGTCGAATCTGGTAACAACGGTGTCCACTGGTGTCGGTGATTGATGGGACAAACCGTGACAGAACTTCCCAAGGAGGCTCGGAACTTTGAATAAAATTCGCTTCAATACGGTCGAATTCATAAAATTGTTCGATTAACAGAATAAAGTCCTCGTATTGAACAAATCATTGCCTCTAGTACAGTGGCGATTTTGGAGGTTGGCAAGGCTATTTTTCCTCTCTTTTACTCCATCAAAAATATCGATTTTAGGTGAGACAAGCTACCTCACCAACATGCTTTGCATACTGTGCTACCAACTGTTTTGCATACATTTAAATCGAGAAAAAAACAGTGTTACAAACTTTCTAGAATCGCCACTGCTCTAGTAGATAACGAGTCCAAAAAATTAAAAATTGACCCTTTCTACGTGTTGCTTAGCTGACAAGGGTAAGGGTAACGCATCAGCTGCCAAATAATTGGCCGCCCTCGCCGCCCAAAAAGCGTTCATGAAAAGTGCAGAAGTTTAGAAACATTTATAGCTTCGGAATAATTTTAAATTTTTTTATTTCTCGGCCATTTCTCCACGAAATTCCTCGAGAATCTCAAGATCTGATCTCTGATAGGTCCAAAATATATCGGTTCAAGTCAACAATTCAATCGTTGAGCCTCTTTGAAGCATCTAGTTTGTACACGGGCTAGACGCTTGAATAATATGACTCTCCTCCTTGGGGCACATTTTGCTTGACTCCATCACAAATATCTTTTCACGAAAGATGCTTGCTTGCCTACGTCGAAAATTGAAGGCGAAACAAGAATGAGCGCAACTTTTTCGATACCCTTTTCTTTTCAGTTCTACTCTCTCAATTATCTTTTCTAGTCGGTAAAAAGCGCATTAGACCGGCGTCTTGAGGATATGAAAATGAGAAGGTACAGCTATTCGAAAACTTTTTTAAGGTGTTTAAGTCCAAAGGCCAAAAAAGGCCACGACGGGACCCGTCTCTTGAGTCCTGGCCGGGTTTCGGGGTGGACTACGGGCAGTGTGCGGCGCTGCCCCTCCGCTGGAAGCTTGTTATCACTCTACCGAGCCATGTCCACTCGCAAATCGCCTTCTCAGCTCGCCCTCTCTCTGTCTTAATCTCCTCTCTCTCTCCTACCCCTTCCGCCCCTCCCCGCCGCCAGCACCCTTCCTTATTTTCTCCTTTCTCCCGGCTCCGTCCTCCCTCCTGCCCATTTACATCCCCATTTCCCGGATCTTCCTGTGCAATATCACATTGTTATCTCGCTGTTTATCTCATTTGCGTCCCTGCTCTTTTGTCCGTCTTTGTTTTGACCAAGATTCGCCTTCTTTTTAATTATGAATTGATTTTTTCGCCGCGGATGAAGGAGATCGGGACTCCGCTCCAACTTTTCGAGGTGTTACGATAGCGTGAATGCCTCGCGCTGGACGCTGGTCAACCCTTTTTGAATATTCCCCATGTTCTAATGCGATCTCGCGAGGCTTGTTCGTAACACGAACGCGTCGTTCCTGAGAGGTAACAGATTCGGAAATCTTATTCTTTGGCAACGGCATAAAACTGGTTTGAGAAATAAAAAATCAACTTAAATTGAACGCTTTAAAGACTAAAATAACTAATGGTAAAATTGTCCAAAAAGATTCCATAACTTGATTATCTAAGCCATATCGCTTGACTAAAGATTCAAATGTTAGGTAGAACATTATATGCACAACAAATACTAAGATTAATAAAATAACTAAAAATGAGAAATCATAAAAAAAATGCTATCTGCTCTATGGTAAAAGCGCTATTTTGAAACCTCATATTACCTACCCCACACACCTCTTTTTAAAGATGGGCTTATGTCTTTTATATAAATCTTCGAAAAACTTTTTGAGGAGTGTTTTATAGAACATATTGAGGTGCACCCAAGGATTTTCTGACTGAACTTCTTTTTAATAACTCCTCCGCAAAAACAAAAATATTGGGAAACGCGCTGGAAAATGTATTATTGAAGTGTCCATAAAACGACTCTGCAGCTATTATCCTTCGTTCTTAGGTCAAAAGTATAGGCAGCCCGAATTTCAAGAGAGTAACGTTGTAATACATTCAGTCAGAGAATTTTTTTCGCAAAAATTGACAATGTTACGATAAAAATCAGTAATAGTTTACTTCATCGGTGAAATGGGCGATGCTGAAATTCAGTTGAGATGTAAGGAAACAAGCGAAACTCCTTCAGTTGCCTAATGTCGCATGCTGCGAGCACAGAGCGAATTTAGTTTTAACGCCTGGATGCAACTATTCGAGCTCCACGGATGTCCGTGTTGCATGCGCACGGTATTGAAGGCGTTTTGAGTCGCCAGGCACTCGCCACTTCTCCCGTGGTGCGACGCGACGCGGCAGTGAGTTGCACTGCAAGATCCAAAATGACAATGTGCCTCCAATTTTTTGTTTATATTGCGAAGACTTTCACTATGCACGAATTGTTGTACATGTGAGTGGGACTGTGCGTATCTTTTCTATGCTTTAGTTTTGATGCAGTGATGTCCCGAGTATGAATTGTACAGAGCAACTATTCGTGCCTAAGAGATGTCTTCGCAGTATGAACGGATAATTAAGGGAACTCTATAGCTGTCATTTTGGCGGCCCGAGAGAAAACTATATGACTGAAACGGGCCATATTTTTAACTGTGTAATACGTTTGCCCGCACGGTCGCATATCAACGGAAAATATCCCCAACCACGTAACTCAATTTCGATGTTTTTCAGTGTACTCCTTTAATTCATTCTCTTAATGGAGACTGAATAAACATGATGCTGTGAAATTTTTCAAAAGATATTCTTCATACAGAGAATACGGTGTCATAGAGGTTTCCAAAGAGCAACCTTAGATAGTTTTTCACTGAAAAAGAGAAAATGACGTGAAGTCCGCACGCCACCAACTTGCGATACGTGACTCAATGGCGCGTCGTCGTGTGGGCTGAAACTGATTGGGGGGGGGGGGGCATTTGATAAAAACGAGATGGGATCAGTGGGGTTTCCACCCTGCCACGGAGGTTCTCCAAGCGTCGTAGTAGAATGGTATTAATATGGATTTTATATATTGTTTCCATTTTGACAATATGGAATGGAATCGTATGGAATAACTATTTTGAAATAATATTGACTCGTGCATATGGATACATTTATCTATATATATTCCGTAAGGATGAGTACATATGGAATCCATATATTTGGAGTCTATGGTACCTTCGTGGAAACATTTCTAAACGGATGCACAATGGAAAATTGATAGTGGAAGTGTATTTCCGCAAGGACGTAATATTGATTCCATTCCTTTGCGACACTTGGTCTCTCATAGGAATTTTTTTTTGAAAATTTGGTACCATGACGGCAATTTCCGGTTTTTTCACATTAAAACATCCCCTCCAAAGATGGGAAAAAATTCGCACGGGTGTTCGGCGGTCATCCCCCCCCCCCCCCCCCCCNTACCCAAAGACCCAAATAAAAAAAAATCCAACAAAATACAAGGGTCCAGTCATCCTCGGTAGCCCAAAGTTACCCCGATGCAGTAACCACTGTGAGTAAGTAAAACAGAACTTCTCATTCCTCCGATTAAAGGATTTTAAGTGGCGAAAGTCGCAGGTTAAGTTTGTTAAGTTTGGCGCGTAAACTTTTGAATATCTACGCTACAGCACTCTTGTGGCGACAATCCAAACTAAAAAATGCGGAGCCGCACCGCGTTTCTTGATGTTTTTCGTCTCTGATGATTGTTGCTTTCCGTCATTCCCTCACCGGAAATTTTCAGGAAAGTTTCAAGTTCGTTGGTTTCAAGTTTCACGGAAGTTCATAACAAAGTGCTTGAATGCGAGTTTTCGCTGTTGTACACCTCGAAATTGTATTCTTTTAGTGTTTTAGCTATTGCTATGAGTGCTGCGGCAAGTTCAACTGACGCCCTTGCCTCTAAGGTTCGTATTTTCAACCAAATTGATCCCATTACCACAGCCCTAACCTGAACGTCCGAACACCTGTATCACATGCATCTGCTAAAGCCAGAAACAATATCAGTCGGATCCGAAATTTACACTCACATTTGAATTTTCTCACTTTCTAAGTGTAAATCGATCTCTTCAACTAGCATTCATTATTCTCTCCTATTGGCCCCTTGAACTTTGGTTATCTCCAAGTGATCTCCTGCCGGGATGACGCACTGATCTTATTTCTGAGGTTGCTCAATGCCTAAAATATTGCTAGGTTTTGTCCATGGAAATTTAGTGTTAGAAAGATAATCTGACAGTCATCTTAAAGACTGAAGTCTCATGAAATGATTTCAAAGAACATAACCTAAAGGTAACCGTAGAACTCGCGTTTGACAGTCCTGTGGTTGTTTCCATTTAGTTTGCAAAGGGCTGTGCTGCAGTCATTCAATAGCCGTTAAGAATTGACCGCGGGTAAAAACGCAGCCATGCACAGGAAAATTAAGCAATCTACTGTGCAAGACAGTGGAGGGTTAACAACTGCCAACTCATCTGATGATAGTTCTAGCCTGTTATCTCGTGTGAACGAATAATATATGATCACTCCAGCACATGAGTAATGTGTGTACCCTTTAGCTCTGCTTTGATTACAACCCATCAGGAAGTTAGGCCTGAACAGTTAGCTGTCACTCAGTTCGACTGATTGGTATGTTTGCTTTCTTCTGGAGGGACCTACTGGCGCTCTGTCACGGTCTCTTGGGGAAAGAGTTTCTACAGGCGTAACCGGAGTATGTCACTGGTTGCAATAAACTCCTTATAAGAATTTTAGAACTTGAATATAGTCACTAAACTTTGTTTTCAACGTAAATTTATACAAAATTATTTTTCAAACCTATTCAACTTCATACCAGTAGAATTTTCTAGCTAAACTTGTGAATAAATGGTTTTATCACTTTTCAATCAAATATTGAAGTTATATTTTGATTTTAATTTTCTTTTTTGCTACAGGTGGAGCAACTGGGCCTCAGAAAACCGGCAGAGCAAGTAGAGAATGGAGGTGCAGAGGGTAAATTTTTTTCTTTACCCATTTCCGAAAAGAAATCCTCCTTGAAATCCTCCTTGAATCCTCCTTTTGGTCCTTTTTGAATTTTAAATTGGAAGTTAATTATTGGAATAAACAGAACAAGCTTATAATTGGAAGTGGGGAATTGCGAAAAACATTGAATCATGTAGACAGTGCATCCTGTGTTATGAGAGGCGTTTTAAATTTGAAAAATTTGCATGGCGCACCAACCGATGAATGTTGAGTGCCACCTTTGCATCAGTGAGTTCGATTAGCCCAATCAGACACGTCTGTGCATGCGCAGTAGCGACCTACGTGAATTTTTGTCAGATTCTGAGGCTTTTTTCTCGGTTAGTGGTAGTTCAGAAAAGTGAATTTATGCAATTTGGTCGTATAATTTTATGTTCTGCAACTTTAGTCCTTATGAATCTTGTCTGAAAGTGGACTCAAAACGAGTTATCCGCAAAAAACCGAGAGTGCTAATGAATTCTCCATTGCTTCTCTGCAGTGTCTTCGAATGCTTGAGACACGCGCTCTCTCGCCCTCTCCGCCTGCCCATCATGGAGTTCCAAGAAGCTTGTTAAGTTTCACCTGTACGGAACTTAGTTGGACACACGGTCTACTTGATTCAATGTCTTTGGTTTATGCACAAAACCTTCACTAATTTTCAATCTCCCTAGTTAGCTCATGGATTGCTCAATGATTTTATTTTCTCTTTCATTTTTTTCTAAATACTTTTTCATTGGCATACAAAGAACACTATTTTTTTGCCCAAGGAAGAGGTATTTTTTCTTCATCTCTCAATATTCTGGCATGCTTTGGATGTCCATGAGTGATCGCGACACAAGCAGTCCTCATTAAGTCATATTTCTTTTGATGTTAATACGTGCAGAATTATACCTCTTGAGATGTTTGATTGACTTCATGGGTAGATCTATCTACGAAGGACTGTATAAGGTCCTAATATTAGGCCGAATCTACTGTAATATATTTTTCAAAGAATACAAAAGTACGGCTTGTGGCTTCTGATTTTTAAAGAAATATTCTTTGAAAATTTGGTTTTGCTGGCCATGGTTAAAAATAGTGTACATCTTATTTTAGATTTGTTTTTCTTTTAGATTCATCTCTCTATTATATGAAAGAACTAGCATCCTAGAAGCCCCAATGAATAGAAACTTTCTCTTCTAACTATTCCGTTCCTTTTATTTTTTCTCTAATAGGAGGCCCAAAGAAAGAGGAAGACGATGAAGAAATATCAGTTGCAGAGAAGGCCCTGTTACAGAAAATTGTCAGAAAAGGGCTTATCGAAAATAAAAATGACATTGAAGTTCAACGGAAAGATCCATCTTCACCGCTGTATCACGTCAAAACCTTTGAGGCTATGAATTTGTGAGTCTTTTTTTATGAACCTATACTAAAAGTGCTTAACATTCTCAAATTTTCTCTTGCAGGCATCATCCTTAAACTTGGTATGTTTCTCCCATTTTCAAGATTCACAAGTGGGCAAATTTTTCCCTTCCCAAAATAGGAATTTTACTCAAGAAATTTTTCATTTTGAAGCTTCTCAAAACCTATCCAGGTCCCTCCTTGAAGAAGTTGATGCTAATTAAGCAAAATTTCCATCCACACTGTTGAGGAGCAGATCATGAATATATGTAGCACAGTTAGGAATCTTTCAACCATTCGTGGTGTTGAAATTAAACAAAGAAAGAAAGAAAAACTAGATGATACCATATCTGCTGAAGCATATTGATGACAAAATTTATCAATTGGTAATAGCCAAATGAATTCCAGCAGCAATAAGTGGTCGATTTTACCAGAGGGAGAAGAAAAAAATGGCGTCAGAGAAAGGGAATTTCATATTGCCCGAAGAACTATCAATGCACATTAAAATGAGCCTCTAATGCTCTCAAGTAGCTTTTAAGTAGTATATTTTATTTTATAATATTGCTGGTTATAGAAAAAATTGTCAGCCTATCAATATTAATCAACATAGTTCGAACACATGGAAATGACCTTAAAAAATCATTAAAATAAAAGTCGATCCCTTTGGAACATTATACAAACCACTTTAGGGCTGAAAGCACTCGGCTTGTTGTGCAGCAGGGTGGCCTTGATGCACCTATTAGCTCAGTTTTCAAGCTCTCGGCATTCAGCTTGTTATTGATGCTAAATTTTCTTTCAAATGTCCAATAATTGTGTGTGAAGGAAATTGCTGTCGTAGGATAAATGTACCAGATTGCATTGAATCCTGGCTGATTGCCTGTTATGGACAAGTATTCATCAGGAAACATTAGGTTGCAATGTGATAATTATCCTTTCAAGTGTGATTCAGTTTAAGTAATTGTTTTCATTTCAGGAAACCTGCGCTATTGAAAGGAGTCTACGCCATGGGATTCTATGCACCCTCTAAAATTCAAGAAACAGCTTTACCTACTCTTCTAGCTGATCCGTAAGTTTCTTTTTGAATAACTTCCTTTTAAGAACATCCAGTCAATAATACTTGAAGAGAAAAAACAAGTTTTGAAAGAGCGCATATTGCATCTAACTTGATAACTTACTCTTAATCTTAATCTCTCCCTTATCAAGAAAAAAGAGAGTTTTGAATGCTGTTTATCATATTTGTAAACTCTGTGAGAATGTTTTTGCCAAAAATTTTAACGAAAGACCTATAATTCCTGCAAACATTTGACAATCCCTATATTGATATCCAGCAAATTCACTTATTCGTAAGTAGCAAAAGTAGTCACAAAAGTAGCAGGCAAGTCACAAAAGTCACAAAAATAGCAGACAAGATGCGCTTCTCTGTTTATTAACAATTTTAAATTAAATTTTTTTAAATTATTTTTGCACTACAGATTATACAAAATCTTATCACTAACTAATTATGTAACTTTGGTGTTGTTTCGGTCGTATCTAGGCCACAGAATATGATTGCCCAATCTCAATCAGGAACTGGTAAAACGGCTGCCTTTGTTCTTGCTATGCTCAGTCGTGTGGATACAACCAAGGATTACCCGCAGGTAATAATTTCTGCAATTCCTCGGTGTCCAATTCATTTATTTTTTTATTTTTTATCTCCTTTTTTCGTTGTGGAAAAAATACCTTGTATTTTCAATTGCTGTCAATTACTTGAGATTTGAAACCTAATGTCATGTAGAATTTCAGACAGCAGTATTAGGTCCTAGAAAGGAAAAAGGCGGCAGTTGGCCTTTCTTTGTACTTCTGAAGATTAACTTTAACTCACAAAGAAAAACTAAGTGCTCGGAGCATTTTATCAATGGCTAAATGTGAAAAATGTGTATCTCAATTCTCTCGATTAAAAATCTCTGATTGTTTATGTTGCATAAGGTAAATAAGTCAAAATGCATCGATCCAGTTTTTTCAGAATGAGTGAAAGATTTATAAAAAAAAGTTCATCAGTAACTCTGGTTAGTTTTTCTCTATGAAAATAAAAAACAAGAGCAGAGACTAAAAACATAGCATTCTGAGGTACGCGTTTTTTGACTTTCACCGATGATATGAGTTTAGAAATCCTGCCAAGTATCAATTTCGTAGAACCCAAGTTCTCCCCCCAAAAATATGGTTTCTCCAATTAGGATGAGTCCAATCTTAAAATTTCTCACTCTACATCCTCAATAATTGCTTGTTTTAGGTGTTGTGTTTATCTCCAACCTATGAATTGGCCATCCAAACAGGTGAAGTTGCTGCTCGAATGGCCTCCTATGATCCGGACATTAAAATTAGATTTGCTGTCAGAGGAGAAGAAGGTAATTAATTTTTTTAAACTACTATTTTTTTATTCACTCTGCAAGTGGACTTCATGGTAATGTCTTTGAAGTCAAGAACACAGGCAGAAAAAAAGGTTAGGTTCACCTTCGTACTTTCACTGCCATGCCATTGGATATTTTGAAAGAAACATTTTTTTTTAGCTTGCAGTTTTGCAGGCAAAATGCAAACTGTTTCTTGTAAAATAACAGAAAAAGTTGCATATAACAATAACACTATCACATAGACAAAAGACATGGCGTGCCACAGATCTCCGTACGTCCTCATGTATGATTCTGAATGGTTCCAAGACAAATTCTTTTAAAGGAAGACTTCTTCAGAAGCTACTATCAGCCTGGAAATTCAAACGATGTAACCGATACATGCCTTAGACTGAGCCGGTAACATAAACTGATGAACATGAATTCATAACTCACAAACTTCTTTGTATTTTTTGCTGTTTGGATCTCTTGTATGCTGATGTTAGTACATTTGTTGGAATGAAATAAAATTTTAGTGAAGCGTTTTTACCGAGGACAATCTGCCCATTACTGGAGCCAAAGTTTGGCAGTGTATTAAGGTGAAGCAAGATTTATCAAGGAAAGTGATAGAGCTGACCGAAATAGGACCCCTGAAGATTCCACTTGTGTGCTTGAAAAATATATTTTTGAAAGGTGATATATCTTCGTCAAATGCAAGATAAATTGAGCACAATGTCACCTTTTATTGGTGGAAAGAAATTTAATTCAATTTTCGCATGTGAAACATCATTCTATCAAAATATTTTTCATTCTTTCAGTGAATAATATATACTCTCTTTTTTTTACTTCATAGTTAATCGAGGAGAAAAAATTACGGAACACATTATCATTGGCACTCCTGGTAAAGTGGTGGACTGGGCCCTCAAGTTTAGATTTTTCAACCTCGCCCAAATCACCGTATTTATTCTGGATGAAGCAGATGTCATGATTGCTACTCAGGGGCACCAAGACCAAAGTTACAGAATCCGCAAGTAAGTTCTCATAAAGTACCGTTGAGAATTTTGGAACCAATTTTTTTTTTCTTTTAGTGGCAAGAATTTACTCCTCAATAATAGTATCAGTACCTAAAAGCAATTTTTCCACAAATTTTAGAATGATGTTCTTAATCATAGAGCCTCTCGGAAGGATTATTCGGACAACTAAAGCTGAAATCAGTCTAACTACAATGGATGTTGCCTAATTGTCGCTCATTTTGTATTTTTTCAACAGAAAACTAAGCTTCATCCGGTCTTGAAATTTTGTGTGTATATTCCGTGTATCTAGAGCTATTCATAGACAGTTTTGAGGCAATATATTGTGTAGTTTTTTGTTGAAATAATAAAACGTAAGAAGAAGTAGGCACTGTGCATTGCAGTTGAAATGATTCCGGTTAGATTTATTCCATTTCATGTTTTTTTTTTTTTTTTTTAACTTTTATTTTGAATTTCTCCTAGATACTTACCTACAAAGTGTTAAAAAATAGTCCTGCTTTCAAAGATTAAGAAATAGTCCTGCTTTGAAAGTATTAAGAAATAGTCCCACTTTCAAAGTATCAAGAAATCCATTTCATGTGTCACAGCATTTTCTCCCACAAATTTGATTGGTACCTACTTTTCATTAAAATGCTCTCAAGGAGTCTTGAAATTGTACAGTTAAATTTGACGTTTCCCAGTCAAAAAAATGTAACTCCATTTATATGTTGTCAAATCAATGATCTTAATTTGTATTTTTATTCAAAGCTGTTGAAAACATTTGCATGGAAAATTTTACTATTTTTCTGACAGATTGCAGCAACAACTCAGCAACATTTTGAACTGTAATGGCAAGATCATTTTTGTGTACAAAAAACAATGTCTAAGTACATTTCGCAACCGTGGAATGAAATTTTGCTCATGATTTTTAGAAATGATGAATTCTTTTCAGAATTTTAAATCGTCCTTTTGCCAAAAGAAAGAGCGAATAAAAAAACCGTTTTATACAGTGTTCTTTGAACATCTCCAAATGTCTGCATGTTTGTGTCTTTTTTTTTTCAAATTATTATTTCTCGGTTCTTAATTACTCTTTTCTGTTTGCAGAGGTCTCACCAATCCAAATTTGCAGATCATGTTCTTCTCAGCAACTTACGATGAAGAAGTTATGGAATTTGCAGAAGCTATAGTATCAAATCCAGTCATTATTAGGTTAAAACGGGAGGAAGAAAGTTTAGACAACATCAAGCAGTACTATGTTCAATGCAAGGATAAGGAAGAAAAGTATCAAGCCATTTCCAATATCTACGGTGTTATCACAATTGGTCAAGCAATGATATTTTGTAGGGTGAGAATCTTTTTTTATCATATTGTTTCAGAAAGAAAAAAGGGATTCTGCAAGGCTGTTTTAGCCTCAATTCTCAACCAAAATTTTATATTCTCTCAAGACCAATCCACACAGGTCAGTCATTGCACATCTTTTTGAGAGCCACTTCCCCGCCCGGCCCTAACTCAGCTGCACTCAATACTACGTCACAATGGGTGCTCCCATAAGAAATACATTGCAAGCACTCAATAGTACGTCACTGCGCAGTAGAGTACCAAAACCCGTTCATGGGAATGACTGACCTGTGTGGATTGGTCTTGTATTCTCTTTTCCAAAATATTATGGATTTTTTAACACAATCAACCCTCAACGGGTCATCATAAATAAATTAAATTGCACTAACCGCATTGTATTCTTTCTGTTTACTAAGAATGAGTAGAGAATTATGCATGTAGCCCAGACAGTGGCATCAATGCTATTGCAAATTTTGATCCTTGCAACTATCATGAATTTTTGGAAAATTTTGAGATCCCAATATCGACAAGAAAATAGTCCTCTTGTTTGACAATACATTTTTTGTAAACCTATCATCAAACTAAGATTGTCTTATAGTGAGAGATTTGTCAGGTTAAGAAAGAGTGGGTTGACAAATTAGGTGCTTGAAATCTTTTTTTCGAAGTGTACGATAGAGCACCGCTTCTCCAGTAATTTCTATTTTTTTGTAAAGGGTTTCTGGCAGTCTCGAAAACATGGAAAGTAAGGAAATTTATGGCGACCTAAAAAATTCAGAGGAAGTCAGGTAGTTTCGTGAAAAGCACCTCAGCTTAGCAACTTCAGCTTGTGCCATCCAAGAAAGCGAAAACATCTTTCAAGTGTTTTTTCCCACAGTTTGAATCTCTTGAAGTGGAAGTTTTGTTCTAATTCTAGCAAAAGTCAACGCAGCCTAAAGAAAAACACTTTAAATAAAAGAGTCTGATGATTAGACAAAGAACTGGGAAAGTAAAAAAATTCAGAAATTTTGGGGTCTGAGGAAAGTCAGGTAACGTAGAAAATGAAGAAATTATTGGAACCCTTTTGTGAGGGATTTAAATTGTAGCGAAGTTTTTTCTCCCTGTAAGTTGAAGATCATATTCAGCCATCTCTTTTTTTATGTTTTTTAATTGTTTCTTTTTCTTTTCTTTATTTTATGTCTGCAGACACGACAAACTTCCATGTGGCTTGCTGAGAAGATGAAGAAAGATGGTCATGCTGTTGCCATGTTGTCTGGTGAGCTGACAGTAGAACAAAGGATAGCAGTCCTCGACAGATTTAGAGAAGGGAAAGATAAAGTCCTCATCACCACTAATGTTTTAGCTAGAGGTAATCTCCTTTTCCTCCAACTTATATCTCTGAACTTTCTTTCATATTTATATTACTGATTTGCATACTTACTAGAGAAACCTTTGTCTATTTCCTCCAAACGATTAATTGCGTTAAGAATGTTTCAATAAAAAACCACAACAAGAAAAAAACAATAGAAAAATATCTAAGGTACCTAGCCAGAAGACAATGCTGCATTACAAAAGGTCCTGTTTTATTCTTGCAATGTTTCTCTTTCTTAATCTGTATATTGGTCAGCATGGTTGGCCTAGTGGTTAGCTTTTCTGACTCTAGGTCAATAGGTCTCTGTTTCAAAGCCTGGTGGTGGAGAAAAAGTGTCATGGAATTGTAGCAAAGAACCACATTGGTACAAGCGCTTATTAACCAATACTAAAAGCAGTCCTAGGTGGAAGCCAAGTTTAGTTATGCCGGATGAATTTTGCCATGTTTTTTGTGTCTAAGGAGTGCTCTGAACCAGGGCTACGGCAAATGTCTGATCTCAGAATCATCAGATTGTGAGGATAAGATTAAAGATTAAGTTATGACTTCAGTAAAAAAGTAATTGCCTCACGTTTTTCAAACTTCCTGCACCTCTGCATCGAATTTTTTCTCAATGCTTTTTTTTTCAAGTTCGTTTCTACATTGTTATGCTGTTGGTCAATCATGCATTATATAAGATTTTAATCATTCTTTCATCGCTCTCTCTTCAGGTATCGATATTGAACAAGTCACAATTGTAGTTAACTTTGATCTACCAGTTGACATGAAGCGTCAAGCAGATTGTGACACATACCTTCACAGAATCGGCAGGACAGGTAGATTTGGTAAAGCTGGTATTGCAATCAACTTAGTCGATGGATCCGAAAGTTTCGCTGTTCTAAAACAGATTGAACAGCATTTTGGTAAGTTTCAGTATTTTTTGTGGTCTTGATCTCTATAACACTTCAGGAAGAATGAACTTCATGACTTCTGAATACTTACTGAAGCATTTTTCTGTCATCATACTCTGAGTGTAGATATGAATGAGGAAGCAATTGACCTTAAAACGAATTAGAGCTGGGCTAATGTTAGAGCATCTTAAATACTCAATTTCCAGCATTTGCGTAAGATATTAATAATTTTGCCAGTCAAATTAACAACTACAACTTCAATGATAATAGTATCGCATCTGCAATCGGTTGTACAATTCCCATAATGAAAATTTTATCGAGGCCTTTCTGAGATTGAGAGTAGCCAATTAGCTAACGTTCTAAGAGAGTTAAAAAAGCAGTTGCTAGTATAATCATCTTTTTACTGATATTTTAAACACAATCATCACTCATACTTGGACAGCATTTGGCATAAAGGAACCAGGGGGTTTACAGAGTGTTTTTAAAATGTCGCTTCTTCATAATTATCTAAAAAATTCCCCAAAATAGCAACTAGTTTTTGCTTCCTACCAAAAAATTTTTGATTTTTAAGGAAAGTAATTGTGCACTTTTCAATTCTGAACATATATTAAGTGTATTTAAAAGAAAAGAAGAAGTTGAATGATTTTTAAAACACTGTAATTGCGCCGGTCCCTTTTTGCTTAATGCAATCCTCTTGTCTGCATGCTATCTCACTTTTTTTCTATAGTTTATCTAGAAAGATTTGGATTCTTAATTAATATAGGTCTTTTTCCTTTCCATTTTGGATTAATTTCTATTTCGCCTCTGTTTGATTGGTTTTGGTTTCTATTTTTATTTGATTCTATTAATTTCGATTCGGCTTTTTAATTTTAACAAGCCCCAAGAGGGTCCTGACTGAAAAACCTTGCAGAGGAACTAGAGTCTTGGCCACCTGAGGTCTGTGGACGGAACCCCAAAAGTGTATGACGCGCGAGGATAGCAGTGCAGGACCAGAGATTTGTGGGGCACAGGGGCAGTTCAATAATTTTATTAATGAGATATTAATGAGAAAAAAATGAATAAACCAATTTTCCTTTGAGTTGAATAAAAAAGAGGTGGTTGTGATCATAAATAAGTGGAAATATCTAATTCGATTTCACCTTCAAATTATTCCTTTTATATTCGATTCCATTCGAGGCCTAAAAACCTCATTTGGCCAGGTCTTAAACAAATGAAAGTGAAAAATTGAATTTCAATAAATAGTATGGATCTGTCTAAGTCGGGCCTTTTAAAAAAGAACCTACCCATCTGTTTTCGCCTTTTTACTTGTACGGAGGCCAGGGACAGTACTCATAGTCATTTCTGAAACAGCTCTCAAAGTTTTAACAAAATGAGGCCATGTAAAGTTATTGCTCGTGCCCATATCAGAATTGTTTTCTCATTGTATTTTTTATTTTTACCGTTCCCCAGGCAAGAAAATAATGAAGTTAGATTCAGAAGATGTTGATGAAATCGAAAAGCTTGGCAATTGATTTTGAACCTTTGCGGTGATCTGCAAACGAAGAAGCTCTTCTCTGCACTTGTTCTCCACCTCAGCCTTGAATCAATCTTATTTCAGATTATTTGCCAGGGTTAATTTACTGTAATTTATTAGTATAATATGTATAATTGCTCTTCGAACAAGAGTAGTTATATTTTTCAATTGTTAATGATAACTTTATCCTTCAAATCTCATTTTTTTTAAAAGCCTTCATTAATTTTGATTACACTCATTGCTTATCAGTAAAATTGCACAGTTATCGTATTGTGAAACAATATAAATATCTAAAGTACTCTACAAATTCACAGTTTACAAAGTCTGATGTATGCTGTTTCATAAATGAGTCCATGGACACTTTTTTCTGAGTGGCTGTCAAAGCTAACGTAACCTAAATATAAAGAAGATCTTGGGAACTGTCCTAAACCTCTCATGCATTGCTTTTGCTTTTTTAATCAAATTGGAAGAAAACATGTAGTAGATTGAAATCTTACATGAGAGACATTTACAGTAGTTTCCCAGAACGTTCGTTTAGGTTATTACACATCTCTTTCTGGGCAAACCTGATTGTGGAAGACTAAGAAATAAGTGTCCCTGGGCGCAGTAAATTTAACAATGAATCCCAGAAACTATGCTAATTGTGCATTTCAGGGTTAATTTGAGATTCCTGTGCAATTTTATCTGTGAGTAGTCAACTCTAGAGTCTTCATTCTGATTGTATCTCCTTCGGCCACAGGTCTTTTTTGGCATTACATTGCAAAATTTTGATATTTCTCAAACTTGGTCCAATTTTTAATATGTTTCAAGTTTCACAAGGGTTATTTTCAAAGAGGGTACTGAAAAGTCAGGTACTGGTCTCAAGGTTCAGTATCAATTTTAAGGTTGAAGCACCTGAATTGAGCGCATAAATACCATGTATAATAAACTCCTCGGTTTAAGTGATAGTGTTGATGAATGAATAAGCCTCTACAGCACTTCCAATTTCATTTTCAGGCGCGTTATTCTCAGAATTTGATGTTGTTTTAACGACAAAAGCTTTGTCTTCTTGTTGAGAACAGACCCCCAAAAAACTTCGCGCTGAGCCTGTTGTAAATGGAAGAAAGTTTGATGGTAATTGAAATTTTTAGACACGGAAATACTTCAAGTTTTAAAGAATGTGTTTTTCATTCACCACAAGTATTTCTGTGACACAGTTGTTAGTACAGACTAAATTCAGGATATAACAGATAATAAGTTTAATACTGCACCAGCTATGTAAGGATTCGCAATACTGGAATGCTCTCTGTAGCTATTAATATAAGGGAGCAGATGCAAAGTTCATTATTGGTCTCAAATTTTTGAACTTCCATTTAACTTTTATCTTCATTCTATCCTCAAAACAATGTCTGATCTAGATTTTTCAAAAAATACTGTCCAGCCATTTTAAGCTTTAGTTGACGGTCTCAGATAAAAATAGGAACATCTTTTTACGCTCCAAGTATTTTTCAGGTATTCAGAAGCAATACAAATTTTACCAGAAAAAATGAATAATATGAAAAATCCTCTTATCAAATCCTCATTGTTGGGACTGCAAAATCGTGTATTTCGATTAGTGCATCTTAAAATCTCTGCTCCTATTTAATTTTTCCAGGAAATTGAACCCATACCATTACTTGAAATTTTCACAGAATATTTTACACACAGTGAAAGAAAATCTGTCCTTTCAAGTTTTAACATTCGGCAATTTTTCATGTAGGAAATAAAGTATGACAAGAAATCTGCCAAGTTGCTAACCGAGATATGCGCCTCTGCAGTTTCACCGTCGATATACCTTTTGCTTTTCCCCACTTGATCAGTTTGTCAGAATATTCAATGAAAGCATATTTTCATTCATTAACTCATTTAGAAAATTGTTTTTACCCTTCATATCCAGACGCCAGCTGTACTTTATCTTGAGATAATTGTGAGATGTGAAAGAGCTTTCCTTACAGGTGTCATCAATTTTAGAAGAAAAATAATTAGCTCCACACTCCCCTTTATCATCAATCTTTCCAATTATCCAAAGCTTTTTGTAGTATTCCTCTTTCATTTCCTTTTGAAAATTGTGTTCATTAAATTAAATCTCACTGTTTATACTCTTTGATTTAAAACGTTTTAACCACTTGACTTAGGTACCATATCTCTTTCGTTCTATGTTCTCAAAAAGTTATATAAATCAAGAATCATCATTTGTTATTTTTAATGGAGGATTTTGTTTTTCACGGTGCGTGTTCCTCCTAAAGATATCGAAGCTACAATAAAAAATCAAAACTTTGTGAAATAGTGAGCTTTGTTGTAATTGGCACATGTGTAATGTATGTACTGTTGAAATAGTTTGTGTCCTAATTTTGTGACGCTCTCAGCATTTTATTATACTCGTACTTGGTATCTTGTGCGGCTTCTTCTTCATATCTGGAACATCTAAATGCAGATATGCCGTGAACAATCCTGAACTATTAGGTAGTAGTTAAAAGTTTAAAGTTTGAATTTATAAACAAATAAATTTACTTTTAAAGTTTAAATTTTGATCGCCAAAGTAATTTCCTGATTTAGCAACAATATTTTTCTTAGTTCTTTTTATTCATATTGTTCGTTATGTATTTTCCATTTCCTGAGAGTTTTCTACTTTTATAATGTTTTTTTCAGGGTTAATAGCTGAAGAGCTGTACCATTTTGTTGTCCATTTTTTTCTTGCTTATTGTCAAGCTATTATCGTAATGATACCAACATGTCTGTGAATAGTGTACATTTTGTCAGGAACTAAAATATTCATTTCCTTTTTGTACTGTTCACTCTGTTGCTCCAATGTATTTTTATTTTGAAAAAGTAAATATTTTGATTTTTTCAATTTGTCAGATATATTTTCCAAGTCATTTCAAAATTAGTTCCCACTTATTTTCAAATCAACCAGTCATTATGTAATTAAATTGCCTCTTTATTGCACTAATTTTTCAAAGTTAATGCACACATTTTTAGAAGCCCAGATTTTAAGACTCCTCTTAAATTTTTCTGCATGTGTGCATGTAGCACTAAGGTTTTCAATTGAGAAGAATCGCCTAAAACAGTTGAAAGATAACTCGAATGCTGCACTAAAGAAATACATGAAACAGAATTGTTAATGATAGGCAGCCCCACAACAACAATGAAACTGCAGAAAATATTCTGGTATGTGACGCTGTAGGTTTCAGGCATAATTCAAGGTCTTGTTAAAAAAATAACTCAGCATCATTTCTTAAAAACTCACCATCTTCTTTGGTATTTTTGACTGTTTAGTGAGTAGTTTAAGAGCATGGTTATATGATTCTCAGTTTAATTATTAATCAGCCAATGCATGGTAAATTCAATAAAATTAAGTCAAACGTTTACAGAAGATCACAACTCCCAATTTTGTTCCTTACGTATAATACCTACTGCGTGAAGATTTGATCAAACTAAACGGAAAATAAAAGAAAACAAATCTGAACTATAACTGAGTGAATTTCTTATCATATTTCCAAATTCGCAATTAAGTACTTGATCATTGAATTTAAGCCCTCCATTCCTTGATTTAGTTGTATATTTGTAGAATCTAGGAAGAATCATGAGAGGGAACTTGGTATTTGCTTTTTTTAGGAGTGCTCTCTGTTAGGAGTAGGGCCATGGGATGACCCTCTATCGGTAAATAATTAAATATTTATAATGTCGAACTAGTAAATACTTATTCGGGTCTCGAAACGAAAACATTGAAGAAACGTTCGATTTTTCGTCTGAACCTACAACCTAAAACTGATATTGAAAGTCAGTGAATTTTAAAATTCGCGGTCTTTAGGGTAGAGGACGACAGTAGTGCGATCTCTCGCCGTAAATTTTCAACATGGGTGCAACTTGACAACCTTGGATAGTGCATTCTGCGTCTGAGTGCATGCATAATAGTGCAACGAGTCATCTCGCAGTTTAAAATTCGTGATAATCGTTAGGTATCAGAAATTATTTTTCGTTTAATAGCGCTAATTTAATTTTCTTCTCGCGACGGTTGCATCGTTTTTACTTTCTTCCCTTTATCGCCAGATTTAATGTATTATTCAATAATATTTGGAACAGCTGCATGTAACCTCAAAAATGCATGCCAACTATCCGTCTGATAAGAATTATCTTGCGTTTATCTAACGTTCTATCCAGTTCTGTCATTTCGTTCCGTCCCAATACAGTGCCAATTTCAATTTTGATTTCATTTTCACTATTCGTTCCATCAGGAGTCAGAGAATTGCTGTGAATTTTCGGAACACCCCAGTTGTCGGTCAGTCTGCGATTGTTTTGGTTTCGATGTACTCTCACTAAATCCCTCACCCTAACCTGGAATCGACATTCAGCCCCTGTATGTGTTCCTTTTATTTTGAATTCTCTGCTTACTTATACTTACTGTAGCAATCTTGTAATTATTACTCACCCTCACATTTTGGGATCCCTTCCTCAGCTCAAGGGAGTGGTCCTTGCTGATGCCATGTACTGTGATAAATATTTCATTTTTATATCTTCTATCATGAATCTACAGATTTGAGTTCGTTACTCTTTAAATAATTAGCACTTCTGCTAAAAACATATAGTAGACTAAGTTTAGCTGTGAGGCAAAAAGCTTCATGTAATTGGACTTCTTCCTTAAGGAGATTTGTCACAGTATCCGACGCGCCATATATCACATCGATTCACTCAAAAATCTCTGAAGATTTTGAACTTTAAGCCTGATTTAGAACAACAACCCTTGTATATGAGCCTAAAGAATCCTTCTGAAGTAAAAATTTGGCAGAATTCTGACATGAAAGCAGTATTCTTTTTTGGAAAAAACCTCCCATTCGATACAGTCATCGGTTTCTGTATTAAATGCAAAGTTATTTTCCAACAAGGATCTTGCTTTCATCTCTCTAAAATTTGCCAATCCTTTGGTTTAGAATGATTCTTTAGATCCATGCACATCATTCTTGCGATCATTCTTTTTATAGCTAAAATTTCAAAATCTGTCAAGCTTTTTGACCGAATCGATGCGATTTATCGCATGCCAGAAACTGTGACTAGGTAATCACCTTAAGTTGGATTTTCTTCATATGATTATCACTACCTTTCAAGACAGGGTATAACCTTAGTTTTTGCACTCAAAATATTTTTTTTTGCCTTCGAATATTTGATAGGGGACATAATCCCACTTAGCTCACAATCAGTTCTAAACCATACCTTCATTTTTCTCTTACAATTGGCTTTTGTTCCAACATCAGTCCAATTCCACGTATCACTCAGGTACATACTCTCTGTTTTGTCCAAGAAAAATGAGCACATTATAATTTGTCGACTCTTGGTACTTACATTTAACAACTCTCGACTGATGTTGATACTTCCTGGCTCATTGTCAGTGTTTAGAATCTACTTTAGTTCTAACTAAACATGCATGAACAAATCTACCATCTTTATTCTCTCAATTTCAATACATATAGAAAGATAGCAGGTTGCATTTTAACTTTATAATTATATAAACTTAAGTGTGCGAATGTAAGCGACGTAGCACAGTACATAATGTTTATCTGAGTACTTCTGAATGAATTTGACTGAATTTTGCCTTTGAGAACTACTATTTCTGACTCATTCCAGAAACACCACATGAGAGGACAAGGCGCATAGGTAACTGCAGTTTCTGAGAAAATAGAGATATTAATGATTTCATGTAAAATTAGTCTCAATGCATATTCTTTGAAAAGTTTGCTGCCTAATTTCAATTTTTAAGTATCAAAAAGTCAATTTTAACTTTCTTTCCGCCATAATAATCCATGAAATTTCGAAACTCATAACTTCGAACACACATTTCTCAAAGTGCAGAAACTGCACTTATGCGCCTTGTCCTCCAAACCCCGCATATCTGCTATTAGTTTTTTTCAACCGAGATAGGTGTCTGCTAAGAAGAAACTCCTTCCGAACTGTCCCAACTTTCAAAAAAAGAAAGAGAAAATTGTCTTATCTCCAGGGCTTTACCACTCCCTATTCCCTCCTCTTCCCCTTGCTCAAAAGATGAGCGTCGCCAAATGCACAACTCGTGGCGTGTCGGCTCAAAGGAAGGTCCGTGGGTGGGACGTTGCAAGCACTCATGAGTGCGGGCGCATCATGCTCCATACTGCCGCGCTAAGGAAGAACGCCGTATGAGCCTTCAGACGCTGCCATATTTCCTTCAATAAAAACCTAATTTACTAGGAAAATCGTCAATATTTTTCTTCAATTTTTTCAGACAATTTTGTTCGCAATTTTATCTAAAACGTTTGAGAATTTCAAGGAAAAATATGCATAATTTTCTTTAAAAATTCATGTTTAATCCGGAGCAATTTGGCAACACTTGAATGTTCATACGGCGTTCTTCCTTAGCACGGCGGTATACACGACCCAACTCCTACCGCGCCCCTTGGTCGGGCACCTCGCGGTAGTTGCGTCGTTTCTGCCCGGGAGGACGGACTTCCTGTCGCGAGGTCATGTTCGTGTCGAGTGTGTACGGAGTCGCAGTTGGTCGGTCGGGTTTTCTCCGATTGGATTATGAGTGGCCAGCTTTTGGTGTCGCGTTTTTCTTTCATGCGTCCCACTCGTTTTCCCCGTCCGATTAGGCCTGGTCATCTTCGCAACAATAACGCCCCCTCCCCACCCGCCCTCGCTCGGTGGTTTCACAACGAGCACTGTCACCTTTTGGCGTCGTCAGTTCCGCTAGATCCTTTTCAACGACGGCCGGCGTCTCGCTCCTCCGTGGTGTTGTCTAAAGCGGAAATTATATTTGAGGGGCTTGGAGGCAGGCCCCCCACATCCCATCTCGGGCCCTGGTACCAGTTTTAAGGTCCGGACCCCAAGCACGGAGGGGGAGGGGGGTCCGAGGGGCATCCCCCGAGAAATTTTAGAATTTATACGACTAATAGGACGCATTTTGAAGCTTCCGTAAAGAATTTTTCCATCAATTTCTGCGGAATAATTATGTTTTTTTTCCTACTTTCAGCACAAAATGTGAATTGTTGCATTCAAAACATCTGGAAAATTTATATATATTTTTTTTTTTGGGGGGGGGGGGCATATGATACTATTTTCAGTTCTATGAGGGCCAGGCCCCCTTGGACTCCCCCTTCGTTCGTTTGTCTGTGGCAAGGGAGTTGAGTCATGATCCATTGAAGTCGAGGATGCCCAGACTGGAGACCCTCAGCATCTGACGACGGAAGAAAATGAAACGCAGTTACTAATAATATCCCTCTGTACTGAAAATCTTGAAAATAGACAGAAATTTTCCAAGAAGTATACTTCTTGGAAAATTTAAGAAGAATTCTACAGTGCCCCAGCGTGTTTCTGAAAATCTATTCACCTTTTCCGAAATTTTTATGGTGAATTATTCCGTTTTTCTCACGAAACAAGGGTTGCATGTGAATTCGTAGTGGTTTTTCACGGGTAACACGGGCCTCCTCTGGGGCCCGGGCCCCGGTACCAGGAACCCAGTATCCCCCCCTTGTGGCGAGCCTGCCTTCATGGCTTGGCGCTGGCCTTTTCGATTTCCGTTAACATTTTTGCAGTCATGAATGCGCTGAAGTGCGCTCCAGCTAGAATTGTATTTAGCAAATGGGTGGTTTTTCTACGAGGATTAAAAATAAACGAGTGGTACGGACTATAACCAAAGAATATGAACTATGCAAAACGATAATCCGGGTATCGGAACTTGCCTGTTTTGAAAACGCCTTCCAACGCGGCGTGATACCTCACGCGTTCCGGAGAGTTAAAATAGTTGTATCATTGCGCCTTAGAAATGCGACGGAAGATTGCAATTGAAATAGCCTCCATGGACGCTGAGCGTGTCGATTTCCATTGACATTTTTGCAGTGGTGAATGCATAGCTGAAGTGCGCTCCAGCTAGAATTATATTTAGCAAATTTTAGGTTTTTCTACGAGGATTAAGAATAAACGAGTGGTAGAGAATATAACAAAAGAATATGAACTATGCAAAACGATAATCTGGGTATCGGAACTTGGCTGTTTTGAAAACGCCTTCAAATGCGGCGAGATACCTCACGCGTTCCGGAGAGTTAAAATAGTTGTATCATTGCGCCTTAGAAATGCGACGGAAGATTGCAATGGACCACTAGACTAGTATGAATTAAGCAATCTGATACATGTTTCTTAACCAGAATTTCACGTAGAACACGATTCGCGCAACGAAAATTACTGAAACCAGCTCCTGATGAAGATATTAACCTTTTTATTTCACATTGGTTACGCGGATTGCGGAAATGCGGCGTGATACCTCACGCAATCCGGAGAGTTCAAATAGTTGTATGATTGTGCTGTATGAATGTGACGGAAGATTTAAATGGAAATAGCTTTTATGCAGGCTCGCCACATCCCATCTTGGGCCCTGGTACCAGTTTTAAGGTCCGGGCCCCAAGCTCGGGGGGGGGGGGGTCCGAGGGGCATCCCCTGAGAAATTGTAGAATTTATTCGACTAACTGGACGCATTTCGAAGCTTCCATAAATAATTTTTCCATCAATTTCTGCGGAATAATTATTTTATTTTTTTTTTTTTTTCTACTTTCAGCACAAAATACTTGCGAATTGTTGCATTCAAAACATCTGGAAAATTTATATTTTTTCTTCGGTTTGTTATATGATATTATTTTCAGTTCTATGAAGGCCAGGCCCCCCTATACTCCCCCTTCGTTTGTCTATGGCAAGGGAGTTGAGCCATGATCCATTGAAGTCGAGGATGCCCAGACTGGAGACCCTCAGCATCTGACGACGGAAGAAAATGAAACGCAGTTACTAATAATATCCCTCTGTACTGAAAATCTTGAAAATAGACAGAAATTTTCCAAGAAGTATACTTCTTGGAAAATTTAAGAAGAATTCTACAGTGCCCCAGTGTTTTTCTGAAAATCTATTTGCCTTTTGCGAAATTTTTAGGGTAAATTCTCAGTTTTTCTTACGAAACAAGGGTTGCATGTGAATTCGTAGTGGTTTTTCACGGGTTACACGGGCTCCCTCCGGGGCCCGGGCCTCGGTTCCAGGGACCCAGTACCCCCCCCCCCCTTGTGGCGGGCCTGCTTGGAGGACAAGACGCACAAACTAGCTCTTGCCATTTCGAGAAATACTTGTTTGAAGTTTCGAAATAACACGGACCCTAATGGCGGAAAGAATGATAAAACTGACTTTTTGATGCTTAAAAATTTGAATTTGGGAGCAAATTTTTCCCAGAATATGCCTTAAGACCAGTTTCATTTGAAATGAGTAATAGCTCAATTTTGTCAGAAACTGCACTCATGCGCCTTGTCCTACAAGCCTCTCATTTGGTATTTTAACCCCCCTCCCCTCCCTTATATTCCA